TCTAGACACTGTAAAAAAAAGAGTATAAAAAGGCACAAATAGACTCTAACTATCACTACAAAGAAAAAAATTAGCTTGAGAGGTATATGTATAAAAAAAAATTAAAAAATGTCTTGTCGATTTCCTTATCCACCGTGTACTTGTGCGAATGGATGCGACTCCGGTGAGTATTCATTTTTCATTTTCCACTTAAACTTTCTCTTATTTTTGCCATAAGTACTTATTCATCTAGGTTGAGGGTGCTTAAACTCTTGTATATAGCTTTGATTAGTAATGCAAGATATATACACCTTAATTTCGTGTAAAGATTTTGTCGCTTATTAAAACAAAAATATTGAAAACGTGTATTTCACGATGTATTTGCCGGTCCAAATCAAATAATTGAAATTCTAACACAAGAATCATGTCGCTCTCATAAACATCATGCACATCTTATTTCCTTTATTTTTTACAATATTTCTATATAGGGAAAGACGCGTGGCCTAATACAGTTGGCATGGATGGAGGACAAGCCAAGAGCATCATTGAGAAAGACAATCCATCTGTGACTGGTGTGATTGTTCACTATGGCAATCGTGTAATCGAGAATTTCTGTTGCAATCGAGTTTGGATTTTTCTTGATAACAATGGAAAAGCTTCTAAAGTGCCAAAGATCGGCTAAAAGATTTTGAATGTTACAATAAGAACAAAGTATCAATAAAGACGAAGAGTAGTCTATGAATTCAAAATGTTTCTTTTCTTTTAATTAGTCAATTTATTATTGTTAGACTATGGTTAATGTTGCATTATTTACTCAAAAATTGAGACACAAATATCTTTTTATTCAATTTTTGATTGAATGATACACGTAAATAACCAATTCATTCGCCTACTATGATTGAAATTTATTAGGGGTGGGTAGGTTTTCCATTCAATCATTCCAATTTAGCCCTCTTGAGAGCCAACCACATATATTTTTAGCTGTCGTGATTCAATTCAGTCCTTGCTAATTTTGTTCAACTACAACCGGGAATTTGTCTTCGTGTTGCCCTCCTTTTACAATTTTCAAAGACATTTTGAAATCGAACACATTATTAAATACGATAAACGATACATTTAACTAAATCGTAAAAGAAACACGTTAGGCATAGCCCTGGTACAAATTACGAGATGAAAGAAAAAAGTTTAAAATGAAATCAATATTTATGGGTAAGATAATATCTATCTGGGTGCGAAAACTATTTGTTAGTTGACTAATTAAAAAATTCACGTGGCTCTTCGGTTCAAAAAACATTAGATGACCGACAACGCCAAATTTTCTATTAACTACAACACATTTTAGTTGTAACGATGCACCTAATTTTTGTAAATTTTCACAATTTATGTCCAACATTTGTTAGTCATACATTTAACTTTAATATTCTATTTACTAGAATATATTGTCCTAATTATAGCCAAAAAAATGCGTTAAGAGAGGAATAAACAAACTTATTTGTACATCATATTTATAAATAAACAAGATGTACAACATATAAAAAAGTTCGACAAAAGGTTATTTCCAAGTTAATGGTATATTCGGAGAATGTTGTTCTAATAATTTGAAGGTTAAAGATAGAATATGCAATCAAAAAGTTATCATAAATGCGATAATGAATAATAATTGGGATCTTTATTTAAAATCAAAATATGGTGCATTAAATCGTGGTATGAATGTAAAACGGGTTAATTTCACAAATTATTACTAAAGTTACCGTAAAATTACAAAATGGTCACAGAAGTTCGAAACTTGTATAAAAGGTCACTAAACTTTCAGTCACTTTTAAAAAATGGTCACTGAGCAAAATTAAGGGACTTCTTTGTTCTAATTGAAACCTACAATTAACAAAACACGGCCCCTTCAAAATTGGAAGGGTTGAAGTGCAATTTCATTTGGATAAAACACCAAATTGATGTGTTTACTTGTTTTTTGCCTGTTTTGCTTAATTTTTTTTTTTCCAACCATAATAAATAACTTGTTTTGCTTATTTCTCCATAGAATTTAGGAGCTTGTTTGGGATGGATTTTAATCCAATTAAAATTGAAAATATAACCGTTATTGGGTATCACTCGTCTAATAAAAGTCAACAATAACTGCTAATTTTTCAATTTTAATCCGATTTTAATCTCTACCAAACAAACTCTAACAATTTCTCCTTATAATTTATTCTAAAAACACTAGAATTCATATTCCAATATTATAAAACACCAATTTCACCAAAATATACAACAATTTCACCATAGCAATTTACATTACAACTTCATAGCATACAACAACTCACAATATTCCACATTTCACCAAAAAGCAGCTATGTTTCCCCAGACTTCAACATTCTCTATAACAATGTAAATTACCCATGATCGTAGGCCCTCCAATAGCATTTGTACAAGTTAAATTTGGTGCCATAACCTCAACTCAGTACCAATTGAAGAATTAAATTTGTGAAGAATTGATTTCGGAAAAACACCAATTTCACCAAAATATATAACAATTTCACCATAGCAATTTACATTACAACTTCATAGCATACATACAACAACTCACAATATTCCACATTTCACCAAAAAGTAGCTGTGTTTCCCCAGACTTCAACATTCTCTATAACAATGTAAATTACCCATGATCGTAGGCCCTCCAATAGCATTTGTACAAGTTAAATTTGGTGCCATAACCTCAACTTAGTACCAATTGAAGAATTAAATTTGTGAAGAATTGATTTCGGTAATTTGAGCACTAATTAGAGCAATTGGTGTCGACCCATGGCAATTGCATCATCAATTGAAGTCCTCACCCCACCCCACCCCACCCCACCGAATTTATCATTTGGAGCAGTGTATGATCATCAAAATTTTGAAATTCCAATTTTTTGCACAGGTCGCTGATGGCAACCATCAATTGGACAGGGTTTGGATGCAATTGGTGAAGACCCATTACCGGGCTAGGTGCACAAGGCTGAGGGAGGGCTAGTCCAGGTGGTCCGCCCCCTTGGATGGCCTGGGTCGTACAGAATTTGCAGAAATCCTATTATGCGTTCGCGAGTTCGCACCATCCCAGACTTCAGATTCAAATTCATTACCCCACCGAATTTATCATTTGGAGCAGTGTAGGATTATCAAAATTTTGAAATTCCAATTTTTTGCACAGGCCGCTGATGGCAGCCATCAATTGGACAGGGTTTGGATGCAATTGGTGAAGACCCATTACTGGGCTAGGTGCATAAGGCTGAGGGAGGGCTAGTCCAAGTGGTCCGCACCCTTAGAAGGCCTAGGTCGCATCAGAATTTGCAGAAATCCGATTCTGCGTTCGCGAGTTCGCACCATCCCAGACTTCAAATTCAAATTCATTTTGATTGGGGCGAAATTGATGGAGACCCAATAATAGGCTAGGTGCGCCGATGAGGGCGCACCCAGCCCAGGTGGTGCGCCATCCTGATTTGTCGGAATGACGTTGGAAATTGCAGTTGAATGGTGAGCTGTTGCGAACTGCGCGACAGATTGTTCTTCAAGGGAAACTTCGATCTATTGGGAAGTTGTTTGGGATGAATTGTTGGCATGTTTGGGGTCTTTTTGAGGTGGACTTTCGATAATTAAGGTTGATTGGAAGCTTACTTACGGTTTGAGAGTGTCAAGGCTGACCTTCGACCGGTGTTTCTGGATTTTCTTCTCGTAGGTTGGAAGTGCGGCGCGTCGAGCGTTTTAGAAAATCGCCGGTTTAAAGTTCGAATGAAAGGGATAGGGTTTGGTTTGGTGTTTTATCCAAAGAAAATTGCACTTCAGCCCCTCAAATTTTGAAGGGGCCGTGTTTTGTTAATTTAGGTTTCAATTAGAACAAAGAAGCCCCTTAATTTTGCTCAGTGACCATTTTTGAAAATGATTGAAAGTCGAGTGACCATTTATGCAAGTTTCGAATATCGGTGACCATTTTGTAATTTTGCTATAATTTCAGTGACCATTTGTGAAATTAACCCATGTAAAACATATACCCTAAAAGGAAAAAGACAAAAGGGAGAAGAATTTAATTTTACGGGCCTGTTTGGTACAGATTCTCATTTTCTACAGTAAATCAATTCTCATTTTCAACCACACATTTTTCAATAAAATAATATTTTCTATCACATCAATATTTTTTTCTTCTTTTTCAACCACACATTTCCCATCATATCACTATTCAAAAATCAATTCTTCTCCCAAAAATCCCTACCAAACACACTCTTAGTGTATTCTGTGAAAATTTTGGTAGCAAAATTCTCATTTTCAACCATACATTCTTCAATAAAATAATATCTTCCATCACATCAATACTTTTTTCTTTTTTTTTTAAAACCACAGATTTCCAATCATATCACTATTCAAAAATCAATTCTTCTCCCAAAAATCCCTATCAAACACACTCTAAATCACAATATAGGTCCCCAATCTTTGCACTTTTCACAATTTCATCTCCAATAAATTTCGATAGCACATATTCAGAAGTAACACTCAAAGATTGAAGATGATAACGTGTTATAAAAATATATTATGTATGAAATTGTGATGAATTAAAAATGTTAGGACCCATAGTGTAATTTCCCCAAGGACGTTTAAGTAATATTTTCTGTGGACATAATATTTTATTTTTATTTTTATCTGTTTTAAATATCCTAATGCCGCATTGACACGTTCCTCCACCTCCTTCCCCCACCCGTCACTGTCTTCCAGGTTCCCTGTACCAATTGCCCGCGCCACCCTCCACTCTACCCCCGGTTCTCCCGCCGCCGTTGGTCCATGATTGAAATCCAATTTCGAGGGCCGATGACGAAAGACGGAGCAACGGTGGTGCGGGTGGCAACAACCACCACAAACGAACGGCGAAGGCAAGATTAACCATAGAGGGTAATGGTGTTTCTGGGATTTTATACAGATGTGTTAACTATGACAAGATTGTGATTAATCAGGAGTCAGCGTAGGGAGTCAAAGTGATTGCGGAAGAGTGGATAAAGCGGATTATGCTGATCACCAGCACCATCATCATAAGCATGGTGGTCCAACAAAAGGTTTTATTTTTCCAATTGAGTTCATCAAAAATTTAAGTTATATGTTCGGCGACTGATCATTTGAATTGGACATAGAAAGGTTAATCATCTATTTCGGTGTAGTTTTAATCATTCTTTGCAAGCGAATTTTTTTCAGAAGGGCTGTTTCTGTATTCAATTTGGATTTTTCTTTTAAACCGAACTTAGTTATGGCTCATCATCTTATATTGTTTTAGTTGGTCATGACGTGGTTAAAAGAACAGTCTATTTATTTCTGTTCTTTTCAGAGCATCATCTTCATAAGCTTCTGATTAGTTTTGTTCTTCGGTTCCAATAGTAAGTTTACTTTGCATTACTTGTGAGAATGTGATTTTTGTTGGTTTAATCAATATGATCATAAAATTATGATCCATGAGTGCTTTCTTTAGGTTGTTCTTCTGATATTCTGGACTTAACAACTTTTTAAATAAGTCTTGGTAGCAGTTTCTTCTCATAAAGCTATTAAATATGTTGTTTTGTATTTTATAATTTGTGTATTTTTCTATAGGTTCAAAGACAGCAGAGTGAGTGGCATGGATGGAAGCATCGCAGGCAGTTAAGGATATGTTCCCAAGAATGTCCAACAGAGAGTCAATGGATCCAGTGGACAATGTTTCTGTCTCCATAAAATTTAAGCAAGCAATTCTTGGAAGAAAATGTGAATGAGGCTGCCATTCAGGACAGCAAGCAGATCATGAAGAATGAATTTGCGTCTCTGCAGAATCAATTGATGCTGTTGAAGTGGAAGCATTGGCTCCTCGTGGAGTCTTTTTGACTTGCGTTTTGTTGTTCTTAGAGCGAGATACTTGAAAGAACATAGCAGTCAAGAGACTCAAGATAAGGAGTTTTTTTACAGAATGTTAGTGTTACTAATACATTCAAATTCATGAGTTGGATGGATAATGTTTCCTGGGTTCTATGTCCTGTATATTCCACCAAAGTAAAGTAAATAAAAACAATGTTCTACATGTTCCATTGCCTATCTAGCCATGTGAGGATTAACCTAATCTAAGATAAGGCATCTTGGTAGGTAAAAAGTTTCACTAGAAACTTATACCTAGTTTGGCATCAGGCACAAAGTGGTTTTATTGTGATCTTTACAATGATTGTTGGTCTGAGTCTTTCTTCTCTTAGATGACTTGCTTTTAGTTGTTCTTGAGTTATCACTTTTGTTTTACTTTGAAAGAGGCAAATGTAACGTTGATATCAAAAATTTGTTCTCTAAAGACACTAAATCGTGATTCAACGCATGTTGTTACCTTATGCCTAGAAGATAAGCAATTGCCACCATTGTGATAACTTTAACGAAAAAATATGCCTCTCGTTTATTGTTAAGGAAACCCGTCCTATATCTTCTCCCTGTTTTATAAGTTTTGCAAGTAAACCCAGGTGGTTTGATTAAGTTTCAGTGTGCCTGACTTGTTGTATCTCTTACCTTCTCTCTGAAGTTTCTTCTGAGTCTGGAGAAAGAACTAATGTTTAGCTCAACAAAGTCTATGTCTTTAATTTGAAACTGAAGCCATGAATCAGTAATTCTGCAACATATGATATAAGAAAATTCTGGCTGATCTGTTGTCAATGAGCATATTATGTTTTGTGCAAGGAACAAGGTTTTGAGATTATAGCAAGTTATCAGTTTTTATTTTTATATCTGTGTATGAGTGTGATGGTTCTCACTATATTTTATGTGGTAATATTTTGAATGACTGACTACAATTTCAATGTTGGTATTATACTTCTTAAAACTTTAAACTCCCCTACCCCCCCTTTCTCCTTATTGATTTTGTCTACTTTCTATCTATTAATTTATTTTGCTATAAGCAAGAATGCTGAAGTTGTTTTGTTTACTCAAATATGTGCCTCTGTAAAGTAATCTTTTCACTGCACTTCTTCTTACTTGTCTTAATTATAGCGTGATTTATTTTTTTTGTTCATGAGAATAACATTTTTCCTCTCCCCGATTGTATACAACTCTAGCCTTTTTTGCTTTCAGATAACAAGTATTCGTGTATTTAATATGTCAGCTGATTTTACATTTAATTAGGCATTTATTACTATTTTTATCTCTATGTATACATAAAAAAGGAATTGATGTTCTAACTCGAGTCCATAATCATAGTCACTGATTGGATTGCCCATTTCAGGATAACACTAATATATTTAACTCATGTTTAGCTGAGATGATTGAACAGTAATGCATCTGAACAGGTTTTACTTAGGTTTAGCCTATGTAATTAGGTGGTAACAGAGCCTAGTTAAGTTTCAAGCATCCACATCTATCAGTTTCCTGCTGTTATATTTCAAGTTGATTGATAAATGAAATAAAGTAAGTGTACTTGACTAGTATTGACACTCTTTCTAGCTTTTATCCTTCAAAATATGAAATATTTAGGTTGTTACAACTTTATTATTTTGATTATTATAAGTGGTTCATTGATGATATCATCAAAAATCCACATAATTTTTGGGTTATTTGATGCTGCATATTTGAAATTCAACTGATTTTCAGATCTGATTGCCTTCCTGAATGCTTTAACCAGAAAGTCCAAGTGAATTTGAAGACGATAATGAAAGAAGACAATACTTTCTTTGACACCATGGATTTTCTTTCGCCGAGCTCTTTCAAAAGCTATGGGTCTGATTTTAGGATTTCTTCATTTTCATCTGATGAAAATGATCTTTATACTTTTGACGCTGTTGGTTGTAATGAGCAAACTATTATATCTGCCGGAACTATCTTTCCTCATATGAAGCGTCAAGAAATTGCCAGACCCAGTTGAGAAAGAGAGGTGTGAGTTTATGGTCAATGATTGAATATAATTTTGGGAAGGACCTCACAAAATTGTGCCTACTTGTCAACTGTGATGAGCCACTCTCTTCTCTGCAAAAGTGTTTTGAATATTTGGAATATTTTGGGCTTATCAATGGGGAACAATGGTAAGTTTATAATGTGTGTTGGCGCTATCAGAAATGTTCCACTGTAGCTGCAGCAGAATAACTTGACTTAGATTATTTTCAAGAATTTTCCATTTATTGGCTATTGGTTTCCTCTTTTTATTGGGATTAGTGAGTTGAAAGGAGAGAACAACATATAATGAAGTGGCATATAAAAAATGTCATTTTACTTCTGAAAAACTTCACGTTGTGTACATTTAGTTGTTCTTCGAATCTTTTCATGCTTATAGGCTGATTATCCTGATAAAGGCCTCTGATTTTTCTCAAAGAAGGTTTCATTGTATTACCCGAAGCAGTTCAATCTTTCTGTTTTCCATATTTTATTGTTTCTTGGTCCATAATTTTATTTTATGTATATTACTTACACTAGGTTAACTATTCTCATATCCTGTTTAACATACTATAAGTTGAATTTTTTAATGTCATTTCCTTTGGGATCAGTGGAATCATCAGTCAATGATTTTAGTCCAATAAAAGTATACAGTTATATGAGACGAATAAAGTAGAAAAGATAGGGGCGAAACCATTTTAGAGATTTTGATTCTTGTTTCTTGCTATATATATAGATGTTCATCAAATTTGTTAGGCTCTGGCACAAAGAAATTTAACTTTTGCAGGTACAAGTAACTGTCCAAGAAAAGAGTGGAAAGGTATTAGCAACTCTATTTGAAAAATGGGATGAGAGCATGCATTATATCAATAGAGGCTGCTCTTCTCAAGGGAAAGTTGAATCTTTATCAGAAGCTCATTTACTTTGGATAACAAGCCTCCTAAATTCCCTAGAGTTATAATTGACATGGTTTTTCATCACACTGAATCAGCTTACTTCATAGCTAAAGGTGAGCTTTACAATATATTTAATATTTTTCTAAATTGGAAACGTCCGTTTGCTTATTTTAGTTGTACTTCATTATTGAACCGTTTCAAAGTAATTGTTGTTATTTCTTCCATAGTTAAGTCATCTTCATTCCCATATTCTTTGTTGGAAATGCGGGCTGTTCTCTTAATAAGTGAGGCAGGATTGATTACTACTCCCTCCTTATCCTATGTTTGGTACAGGAATAAATTATCGTAGAATGTTATATTCATAAACGGTCCACCGTGCAATCCCAATGGTGTTAGGCCAACAACTAGGATTGGTGAAATTGTAGTTGAAAAGATGGTTAAACCTTATTGCATATTTTATGAAATCCTAGTTCCTCATTTCGCAATCTTTAAGAGAGAGGGGTGGGGGTGGTCCAGCAACTAAGATTAACGAAAATATAGTTAAAAGGACAGATAAGCCATGCGTATTTTTTCAAATCCTAGTTTCTCTTCATTCTAATCTATTTCTCCTCCACTCTATACCCCGTAATCGGTTATCATCTTCCAACCATCACCACCTCCAGCAAAACTTCACTCCAATCTCCTTTGTTAACCTTCACCATCTGTTGTCATTTTTTGAACCTATCATTCCTTGATCCTATCTTGTCAGCACTAGTTTTTCTCATGTGTGCAGGACAACCCTACAATTTCACCTCAATTTAAAGTGGACATCTTCTTTGTCCTCAATTCATATGGTGTTTTAGGAATACATTTCATGGGGTTCTATTTATTAAATAATCAACAGGCTTACTGCAAATCTCCGAAATGAAATAAGCAACTCTGACGTACTCATCATTGAGTGAAACATAAACAATAAAGAATGATTTCTTCTTTGAGATGAACTACTAGGTTGTCCACAATCTACATTTCTTGGTAGTGCTATCCCCTACCTTCCATTTTTGGAGTTTTTGGTCTTTAGTGATAGAAACCATTGAAAATTTTGTTAAGCTAACATAGTCGCTCACATGATGAACACAACGATATTCTTTACTGAAATATTTTTAAATATAAATAAATCAATGAGATAAATGTATGAAAAAGGAAAAGAAAATAAACTAGAAATAAAACCAATTTATCATCTTAAATCTGGTTAGCTTTCTTAAATGAGTAATTATGTAAAGATGTCCCCTGACCATAGTCCGCTAGATTTGGTCCCTTTTCCCCAACATTGTCCATCTAGGATTTGTTCTATATCCCAAAAGTACGTATTATGTACTAGGTTGGCCCCAGTGTGGATTTATTCAGTGTTCCCAGCAATGCGAACTCAGGACTTCCAATAGGAACTTAACTGGAATGTTGTGGTACTAGCATTCTACTACAGTTCCTCTTAAAAGGAGGTGTTTGGTTTGATATCCAGGGACGTAAAGTGAATTCATGTTGGGCCCTACCGATGTGTATAGAATGTAATGGTGCGATACTTATTGAAAATCGCATGGACCATGTTGTGGTGAATTGGAAGTGAGCCATAGTTGGGGGATTATCGTGGTAGAAACTACGCTTTGTTGTAACGATAAAGATCTTTTTCTAAGGATTTGGCCCTTTCCTTATTAATTTATATTGCATTCTTTGGGAAAGTCTGTGCCCATTAAGAAGCACTTAAGTTTTATGATAGTTCCAATTGATTGATTGGTCATCCCTAATCTAATCATGGCTATTGGTTTCATCTTGTTCTCTACAACCTGGTCCGTGCTGGACAGGTCAATAGTGCATCATTACTAGTTGTCCACTGTAATTTTGTTCCCAACAATGGATTATTTCATGTCTCCAGAGATGGGGAATAAGGAAGGTGTAGATCCGTCAAAGTGCCAAATCAAGCTTAAAGGTTCATCATTTTTTTAAAGGTAAGCAACTAAATTATCAGGTGTTGAACAACGCTGTATATTTGTGGGTTAATAATTAAGGAAGATGAGTACCATTCCCAGCTTAAACGAATATATATGTTATTTTAGCTGTCTTAGAATTTCTAATTGGGTACTTTGGGTGAGCTGTAGTTATTAGAATTGATTAAATCAATGGATTAGAATGAATCAACTGATTTGATGGGTCTAGATTTTACCTCCCTATGGAAATTAATTTATTAATGAGAAATTCACTTGAAAGTAAGATTCATGGGCCGATGAAAATTAAATAGGTTCGAGGGTCATGTTAGTTCTCACTAGAAGGGAAAATGGATTAACTATTTTGGGATGAACAATGAAATTGAAGATCAATGAATGGACTAAAAAGTGGAATAGGATTAACTATTTTAACGCTTTAGTTGGAGGAATGAACAATGAAATTGAAGATCAACGTATGGACTAGAAAGTGGAATAGTTGAATTGAATAAAGGAGTTCTTGCTCGGTGATGAAGACTTGAAATGGATTTTGGTTGTAGTTCATAGATCATGAAATTTAAGTAAATTAGAAGTAAAAAATTTAAGGGTAAATAGCATTGGGGGTCTCAAACCTTTAAACCATGTGACAATAGGGTCCGTTCCAAACCTTTTATATCTAGCACTCAGGATCCTAAACCTTTCAAATGTTAGCTTAGTACTTTTGTAACAGAAAACGTTAATGTGATCGTTAAAAAATGTCAAGTGTTGAGTAAAATGCTTATTCTATCCTTGGTTTAATATAAAATAAAAAAATAACGGAAATGAAATAAAATAAAGGAACTAAGGGAAAAAAAACAAAGAAATAATGGCTCATTTTGCATAGATTTTCCATGGAAATTGATTTATTTATTTTTAGAATATGTGGTTAAAAAGTGGAGAAAAGTTGTGGATTCCATAAAATGTGTGGTTGAAAATGATTTTAGTGAGAATTTGATTTAGAAAATCTTTGACAAACAAGCTTTAAAGAATAGGAAAAAGTTGGAACACACCTAATCCCACCCACTCCTTCCACTACGCCATTTTCTTCCCCAATAAACGTACCTAAATCCCAGCATCAGTGGTTGCTACAACCACTATCACTGCTACTGTCAACAATAGCATTGGTGGACACAATCTACAATAAAATATCGGCTACACCACCATCATTTTTCATAACCTCCAAACCTTGCAAATCTATATAGAACATCTTTAAAAACTCATCTCCAACACGCATTTGGAAAAGGAAATCAGAAGTCGAGAGAGGTAAAGCATTTAGATAGGTTGCCTTAGATTTAGCCTTTTAGATTTGAGTTTGAGTTTTTAATAGGATTTTTATTTCCTTAATTCTTGTTCCCACGTATAATCGATTCGACAATTTTTTTAAAAATAAGCCCTCAGATTCTCTCCCCTACTCGTTGTCACTTCAATGTTTTTTTTCTTTATTTATCCATCTATATGTTTATAATTTTGTGAGGGGGTGTAATTATGTACAATACAGCAAATGTAGGTTGATCTTGTTTCTATTTAGAGAGACTCATTTTTCGCATAATAAATTCTCTTAGATTTACATTTGCGATCTTTCTTGAACTCAGATTTTGTGTTTTGATTATTTGGTTATCATAAAAATATGGTGTGGATTTGAAGGGTGGCTTTCTATATGTAATGTGTTGTTTGGGGGTTCTCTTTAAATTTCACTATTTCTTGTTAACTTTGATGTCTTAGTGGGATAGTAACACAAAGAACATATCCTAAGGTGCAATTTTTGTATCGATACAAACTTTTGTACACAAGCTGTTATGTCATACATATTGTCCACTTTATAAGAGTTTGAAGCCATCTTATCCCTTACGAATTTCTTCTCACCCCTAGCATTCAAACTCAAGACATTTGCCATAGGAGATTTAAATTGAATCTAGAGGACGTGAGGGTAAAGATAGGTAGAGGCTCTTTTAAAGCAGATAGTATGTATGATATAACGGTTTGTGTACGACGATTGAACCGTTACAATTTTAGTACTGGTGGGGACGATTGTGGCATCCTTGAGGATAGATGTGGTGGAGGAAGGTTGGATGGTGGTGGTAGTAGATAAAAATGATCAAGCAAAAAAA